TATGTGTGAACTAATATTGGATAATGGCGACAAATCCCCAGGAAAATCCCTGAAAACTAAATTAAAGACTAAAATGTATTGATTTCATAGCCAATAGCTCTGGAGAGAGGTTTCACATGTAATCTAATGTATCCTAATTTCGGAATCGTGGCGCAGCGGAGGCAGTGGTCAGTGTATTTCTGCTGCATTGCTGCTTGCTTGCATATTCTGTATAACATTGTTGAACCTCCTCTTTACATTGCGCTACATGTAGTTAAACTTGTGAATTTTTCCTGCTCAATCCGCTCCTCCATAGAAGTTACATTTTTCCATTTCTTAGCGGTTTGTTAGCGGTTAAATGTTGGCGGAAGTGCTCCCCTAGTGACCCTGTTAATAAGCAACCATGACAACACATTAGTCCTTCTCCTCAAATGGAGAGTGACACTGAGTGCAAAGGAATTAGTCGTCAAAGCGGTGCAACAATCAGATTGCTTGATTTCAGCTACCCGTTTTCCAAAGATTTGTCTACTTAATCTTATTAATTGCGACAGCGTCTGGCTTTGAGTGTTTCAGCACCATGCAGGAAGATGGAGGTGTTCATGTGGAGTGCTTTTAGAGGAATTTCTTCTTGCTCGTAACTCTGACTTGCGTAGAGACACTGCCATCCAGAATAGCACAGCTATTTAGTAATGATTGCTGTGCTCACAATCCTCGATGTGAACCGCTATCCATAGATAGGGTAATGGAGCATCCACTTTTTTTCACTGAGCGGAGGGGGGAGGAAGATGCTGCCAGCTGTGCTATAATAGAATTTTTGCATTTGTTCATCAGCTGTTTTTCATCCATACTCTGTGACAGTCTTATCTTCTGTGGCGGCGGCAGGCTATGACCCTTGACGCTTGTGTCATTGAGTGCAGAGATTAGTCATCACTGGTGCGTCGCAGCATCTGAGGTGGATCTGTGCAGTCGTACCATGATGTGATTATTCCACTGACCTCTTCTGCCCACTGCCAGCAGAAAACCAAGCTTTTCAAAATGCACCTCTGCCTCCACAACAACATGCTCTGCTTCTCTTTATGTGGTTCTCTGGGTGACCTCAGCAGCCAATGGTGGTTGTAACGCACACCTAACAGATCTGACTGCAGTTCCTCCACTAACAATATTTACTGACCTACAGATGTGATCTCTGAGTTTGATCTTGCTGGCAACAACCCTTCAATGAAACAGGAAGACAGATCCTTTGCGGAGGTCATCCCTCCACTACAAATCATTATGTGGCTGAGTCATCCCTTCGCCACGCTAATATAAAAAGCATCAGCTCGAGAGGTTGAAACCGAGGGTGTCCTTAATTGTCAATTAAGGATGTATCTCGCAGTCATACTCTTGCCGCATGACTTGTAGATCGAGTGATAACAACGATGGCATGGGTTGCATTGCTGCGAGGTCAGTTGGAACGACGATGCTTTCGATTATGTCTGCTTACTCAACCAAAAGCGAGCAATCACCCGTGAAGGGAGTCAAATAATTTGCAGAAAAGTAAGAAATAACTCAGTGACACCGTCAATGTGGATACGGTATAGTGCTCAGTGATGGTTTCGGCTCTGATTGGCGATGGTCCTGGTTGTGAGTTAGTTTAAATGACTGATGCGTTTTTTTGCTAATCACAACATTCATAGTGCCAAATATGAAACTAATGAAAGAAGCAAAAACACGTTAACCGCCATTTATCAGGCAAACAGAGCTCTTTGTTTCTTGCTGTTGTCTTTTCCATCCTTCATCCATTGTTGCAGTGATATCAGATCAAAAAAATCACGTCTTAGCATCGCATTTGTTGGGGGTGGAAAGGTTAGATTTCATACCTGTCCAAACAGGCAGGCCTTCATAAAACAGCCATCATCTTTACAATAGGACAGCAAAGGATAGGTCTCTCAGCAGCCAGATGGATTTTCGAAGAGAGTCGAGTTGGCTTATTGTTTTGATGTTTAGGTTGATAAATGTAGTCTAGAAAGAAAAGGTAGACCGATAACCTGTCCTGTTGATGCAGAGGAGACACAATAACCTCTAAATACAATGACTTTTTTATGACTTTTATCGACATTCTATACTATGACTTCCTTGTCTTCCTCTGCAGTATGGACCAGGTGATGATTGCAACTCTCCCACTGAAAACCAGTCCCCATCCGGTCCGGGAACTCCCATCGTGGCCTCAGACCGGTCACCAAGTTCCGAGCTAAGAAGACTTGAAACTAGAAAATGCATTTCCTGCAGAAAATGCATTGGAAACAGCAGCAGCAGTAATCCCAGAATTCCATTTGGAGTGTGGGAAGAGACTCAGCGGTGATTTATCTGTGTATCTGTGCAAACTCCTGCAGAAGAACAAAAATCCACCAACTAGAAGTAAACGTGGAGGTAAATGGACTGTGTGGGATTGATACAACTTTACCATGGACTCAAAACATAGGACAAACGCAAGCTAAGACGCAGCTAACTAGCCTACCAAGAAACAGGAGGAGAGAGCAGATAATGAATCTTCAAATGGTAGTCCCCCCTGGAACTCTCTCGGTGCAAAGCCGAAGAGGAATTCATACCTTCAGGAAGTGGAAGGACGACTAACGGGCAAAGCCCAGCGCCCTGAGACTTTCAGGGAAAGCTAATGACTGGGCCTGAGACTCTGATTGTTGGTGACTATGCTGTAAAAGATGTCAGAACGATGTGCAGCAAGAATGCCAAAATACTCTGCTTTCCGAAAGATATGGTCTCTAACATGAGAGACGAAATCCTGCACATCGTGGATGACCATCCCACAGTGAAAAACATAATCTCGCATACAGGAAGCTGTGATATTGTGAAACAACAGTCCGAAGTTCTGAAGCGAGACTTTATTGATATATTACACACAGTCAGCTCTATCAAGGCTGAGGTGTTTATCAGTGGCCCTCTTCCACCAGGAGATGAAGGATTCAGGAGGCTGTTTGCACTGAACAAATGGCTGTCAGCTGCATGTACTGACCATTCAGTACATTTTACCAACAATTTCTACCTTTTCTGGGAGCGCAGACATCTTTTTAAGGCACATGGAGTTTGCCTGAACAAGTCAGGGGTAAAGCTGTTTACCTCTAACCTATTTTTCTTCCTGCGTCATCCGTCTGTTCCTACTGCCAAGGACAAGACACAAGAGGAGTCTAAACAAGAGATAACCACACAGCATCGCCATGGAGACCTTACGGGAAGGATGCCCCAGCCTAAGAGGAGGAGTCTCCAACCTCACCATCAGGGACCGCCTCTGATCACCCACTTTATCCCCCCCCCCTCCGAGAGGAGGAGTCTTTACCTCCCTCACCAGCACCTACCAGACTCCATCCAGGTCCCCCTCCTCTCTACTCACACTCTTCCCATCCTCCCCCCACCTGGAGTTCACTGACCACTGAGCTGGTCATTGCTAGAACCAAACTCACTTCCCGCCACACTCCCATTTTCTCTCCTATAATCCCTCCTCAACATCCAGCCCCACCTCCGCCACTGGCTCCAAGTCCTCAGCCAGTTTTGACACAATCAGCGAAGTTAGATAGTTTATAGCATATGGTTACGCTTGGAAAGAAAAGCCAACATAGAAGTGGGAGAGAAGTTAATTTTGTTTGAATTTTTGCCGTCCAGTCTCATGGAATGTATATGGAGTTAAGAACAAGACCATTAATGCATAGAGAAAAATAAGTAGAATGTTGGACTGTGTGTAGTCAGTTTTACATTCATCAATCAACTATTATTAATTCATTAATTCCACAGGAAGTTAGTTCTCGAGGTAAAATCCAGACCCCCCAAAAAAATGGAAAGGAGGAGTTTCGCAACCACATTGGAGATCAATGACATTCCCAAAGGAATGAATGGACTTCAGTTGACTTGCATATGTACACAGAGCTATGTGGAAACGAGGGGTAACTCGTCATCCACGTCCCCGGTTGAAACACCAAACGTGCCACACCTCCACCCGAGGGTCCCCTTGTAGGTTCCGAATCTAAATTCCCGGGGGGACGTTTTTATCATCACTCTGCTGGGTGAGCTTGGTGTACCACTGTGTGGAGTTACAAAGTCACAGCCTAGATGCCAACTACCAACTCTGTTCATATTCCACATCCACATAATAATCCATTCCAGTTACTCTATACTTCCATCATGCTCTGCTCCCTTTGATCGTCTCCTGCTGATATTTTTAACTGGGTTACATACTGACAGCCAGTGATGCACTCTTTGCACTCTGAACCTCAGGTTCCCTAGTTGAAACACCAAACACGTTTCAAATACTTAAATCAAAAGGTCTGTTGCCTGCAGTCTTATCCAGTCATGGTTATTTTAAAATCATGTAAAGCAGTAGTGTCTAGGAATGAGCTGTATCTTCGCAATTTATCCCCAGGCTTCACAAAGATGGGTTAAACAAGATAATGCCCAAGACAATATTCTTCAAATACAAACCTAATACGGATTGAGCAAAACCAATGTGAATAAAAGACATTTCACAGCCAACTTCCACAAAAGCAACCCATTACAAAGCGTATGGACAATAGAAAAATCGAGACTTGCACAGAATGTTGCATCCCTTGCCACTTAACAACTGCTGCTCTAAGATGTGTGTCTCAAGAACTTTGACATACTTTTTGCAAGCTGCTGCCTGGTAAATGTTAAAAATCAAAACTGTGCTTACATTCACTAGTGGATCATTTAACGGATTCAGCAGGGATTTTCTCCAGAACAGTGTGACAGCAAACACAGACACTTCATCATTTAGGAGCCCAGGGAGACTCTAAACTAAAAGTCTGAGAGATGCCCCAGGCATTTTGTGTTCCCAAGAGATACAATCCATTCCTCTAGCAAAGAACAGGCTTTAACGAAACATTCTGTAATTCAAGGGGAAAGTTTTTCGTGAAGTGACGTAGAGACTGTATCTTGCTGGCCCTTCATGAGTTCATCTGCAATGCAAGTAAATGCTGAAAACTCTCACTAAAGAGTGAAAAAGAGAAAAGACTCACCAAGAGGCTGTCCAGCGATGATACGGGCATATTCTCCTGCCACAGCTGCTCGGGCGTTCCTCTCTTGCAAATACTGTACGAAGGCGTAACCTTTGTGCACAGAGCAACCCACTATCTTGCCGTACTTGGCGAAGATGACCTCTATGTCGGTCTTCTTGACGATGGTTGTGTTGAGGTTGCCGATAAAGACTCTGGAGTTTAGGGAGCGCGGGTCATTCTTGTTGGTCACGTTGCTGGTCTGGAGTTTACCAGTCATTCTCCTCCAGTTGCCCTCCTGGGACACAGACAGAGGGGGGGGAGGGGAGGACATAGCTTTAGAGGTTTGGGGCAGGCTAACTCCAGCTAATACTGCTAAACACTATAAAACCCCTTGGTTTATTATCATTCAATAAGACATTATGAAATAAATAATTATATTGTAAGTAATATGAATAAACTACTAAATTGTTAAATTATTTAAGGAACCCTAAAATGTGTAATTTTATCACTCTCATTTTCATGCCCCCAGCCTCCCACTAGGCCCACTAACCAACCACCTTACCAGCTCACTAGCTAACTCCTGCTGGTTCGAGAAAACACAGAGAAACAGTGTATATTTTTGCTCATCCTAGTTGTGTGCCTTTGATAAACACCTTTCAAATCACAACATTACCAAGAATTAACTACCTAACTGCTGCTATTAACATCGGCTCTTTACTTTGGCTAGTTAGCCGGGGAGGTACTGTAGGTAGCTTGTTCAGAAAGCAACATCTACGACTTTACCACATTTAGCATGTTAGCTCCGGTTAACTACTGCGCCAACGATGTCAAAGTGCTGAGCCAACTAGCTTCTGCTGTAAATAAACACTAGACACATACAAAATGTTTTAATTAACTTTACAAGGCTTCTCAAGAATTTATTGGCTTATTTATAGGTTTCATTTTAGTCTATCCATTCAGATTATTATTTACTTCACAATGTCTTATTTTTGTATTTAATACTGAACACATTGGGGCTTCATAAAACACAAGGTCAGTACATAAATTAGTTGGAATCTAAATCTAATTATTTTAAACAGACACTTTTTTTGTTGTTGATGAAGGCTTTTATTAATGAAGGGTTACCTTATCTCATTTATGAACAAGGTCATCGGCCAGTCAGCTGCTTACCTAAGCGACATTTTGTTCATGGTTGAAATGCTACCCCTGGATGGCTGAGTGGGAGAACTAGAATGAACAACAATATGTGAATGCCACAGCAGCTTCCTCTCCTTTGTGACAAACCAAATACAGTAGCTGTCAGTGGGAAAGCTTTGCTATCTCAATACCCATATTATTGCATCCCTAATGCTTTGTGTGCCGTTTCACTGATCACAGAATGCGGAGGCTGTAATTCATGTTACAGTTTTATTCAGACTTTTTTTGTGCTGTCAAGTTATTGACGCACATTACCCTCGGCTTTTGTAGGCCTCCATTACAATTATTCCGAAGTGACCTTTTTCTTCACCTGAATGTTATTTTTTATGAAAGATGATTGGCTGCAGAAACCGGGAAATTATAACTCCCAAGGATAGGATGCACTGTTGAACAATATATATATATATATATATATATTCTGTATTTAATGCCAGCATAAAGAAGATGGATATGTAAATAGATCCTACATATTTCCTATTGATTTTCTTTTTTTATGCACACATGATTTACTCTTTATAGCAGTAGAAATCCAGGGTTTCACAACAGTTTATATTACCAAATGGATTACACTTTGTGCATTGAATGATGTGAAATATTATGAAGAAAACACTGAATATTCAATATTTGCCTCCTCCGAGTCTCTGTCCCTGACACACCGTGATAACAACTATTCAGCTTTGAGAGGAAGAACCTGAATAATGGATCCAATCCTCAGTAAATGGGATTAGTTACCAAGGTAACACTGATGTTGTTGGAATATTGCACTGCACACGTTTTGTCACAGGCAGTCTTTTCTTTTCCATTGCAAGAGGCTGTAGAACTTTAGAGCTGAGCCTCTCTGCCTTGACACTGTGTGGCCTCTTATCTTCGCGATTACACAATGTAGTTTTATTGTGAAGTGCTACACTATAATTGGTTTATTCAGCTAATTATAGCAGGGATTATGTTGAAAATTATGCGATTCTCAAACTGCAGTGATGGCTACATTCCACCGCAAGGTCGCTCTCTTTGTACCGACAGTAGATGATGAGGAAACTGACCAGTCATCCAGGAAGTGCGAGAGAAGCCATGTGAATCTCAGAGAGATATTTTTCTGTCAGGAATCTATTACACCTGAGACTAAGATCACGCTAGACATTCGGCTGCCCATTCATGGATAAACACATCATTATTTCACTTGGCTGCACATGCTTTTAGCATTAAATCACATACAGTATATGTTTCTACGCCTGACTAACCCGCACCCACTGTGTGTGACACTCCGCTGTTTACAGTGCTGCATTGGCGTGTGTTTGTTTCGGCACATGGGTGTGTGTGGGAATAAAACTGCTGCTCGCCATCTCTCAAGTGGCCTTGACATTTATCAGCGGCGAACACTGGAAATTAATCTGGAGCCGGCACACACACACATACATGTGCTAACTTAAATGAGCTCCACAATGGCCACCTAACGGTAGTTTAAGCCCACAGTCTGACACCCATCCCATATTGGTGTCCGTGGACAGGTCAGGGAACATGACAAATCAGTGGAGAAGCGTTAGATTGCCTCTCTCCTCAGATAAATCAGGAGTAGGTAGCGGTCACAGAGCCCTTTTACCACTCCTTACTGTTATATTTCATGTTGTCTTCTCTGTTGTTTTCTTTAGAGCAGGACACTAATTTATTCCATCAGTGGTTTTCCTGCTGACCTTGCCGTTTAGTTTATTTACAACCTCCATTAAGCTTCTCATCCTATGAGGTGATAGCGTCATGAGAAGAAACATGGGGAAGCTACACAGGAAGTGAGAGAGCGAGAGGAGTGTAATTGGCAAAATAATTGTTCCGAAGACTTAAAGTTTGTTTTAAAAAAAAAGTACAAAGAAGAGCTCGGAAATGCCGTCTACAAATGGCTTTTAGAGGAAAATTGATGACCTGGTGTTCAAAGCCCCGCTCTTTAAAAATGATTACAGCTTCTACAGCACTGCCTTTTTGTCAGTAAAGAGCAGGAGACAGTTAAGTCTTCATTTTCACTTTCATGCCAATGTAGTCCTGTCACAATAGGTGTCACATTTTTCAAAAGGTGGACGTTTTCTTTTGGAAAGAAACACTTTGCTCTTGGTGCATTACAGAGAACCCTGACATGCCTCGGCTTTAATTCGGTATGAATATTGAAAAAACGCGTAGTATTCGGAGCAGAAAAAGCACCAAGGTCAGGGTGTTGACAGCACTGCTGTGTTGGGAAAGTGGTTGGATGAAAGACAGGCTTTAGTAGAGAAGAAGCCATGTTCTGGATTTGTATTTTACTCGGTAACGCAGTGCGCCTTGGTAGACAGGCTCTTAAAAGGTTGTTGTTTGGTTCCGGCCACCTGCCTGTTTTATAGACATTTTTTTTCACGGAGGGAGGGATCTCATTGAATTGATTCCTTCTGTAATTTCCCACCACTCCACCACTGTACATTTCTCTTCGCCATGCCTCAGCCACTCTGCTCTGATTGTTGCCAAGGCAGCTCGACGGACTGAGGAGAGGCTGGAGAAGCTGCTCAGTGAGACAGAACAGAGAAAGGTATAGCCTGATACACCTTTTCCAACGGTGCTGCTGCCATGTACTGCAGAGGTGGAATAATTGCTTTATGGACTCCTTCCATTTATATCTTGTCTCAAAACATGTCTCTCTGCCGGTGAAAGCAATGGCAACAACCGAGAAAATAAATTCCCTCAATTTGTAAATCAATGCTGCTATTTGTATTGTAGGCTGCAGAGCATTTCTGTGCTGCAACCAGCCATAAATTTGTGCACTATTTTTGTGAAAGAGGGCGAAGCTGTTCTGCCCCCAAAGACAAACTGCAGTCACAGCTTTTTGTCTGATTTGAAGGGCAAATAAATTTGATTTAATATGAAGCCGATAGTGGACAATTAACTGCCATAGCCACGATTCTACCTGCACCTTGAAAAATGAGTTTGGTCTTCAAGATAAATCTAATTTTCCTCCACATTTTCAATCTGCTGGCCTTTGGCTTTATGAGTCAAAGTATAAAGTGTTGGACTGGAATTCAACTCAGTAAGTAGACAGCTACAGCAAAGAGGGTCTATAAAAGGAAGCGAAACACCTGTAATTCTGCCTGCCAAGAGTGCTTGAAATGTAGCTATGTAACATGTTGGAGCATTTGAAAGCTAAAGAAACTACAGCGAAAGAGATCAAATAAGAGCTAAAAAGGAGAGTGAACATTGGACTGACATTAGCCAGGTGGTCAGAAACAACGGCAAACAAAATGCTAGCGTTTCTCCGTTTCTGCTAACCATGAAAGTAGGTCACCGTTTTCTAACACATATCAACTTTGTAACGTGATAATATGTCAGAGTTGTTTTTACAGCATGTCATATATTATACGGCAATGAAGTTATAAAATCATTTTTAAAGGCTAAGAGCTTGGTAGCATCAGTGCAAACTAGCACGAACACTTTTGCTGATGTCATGACACTGCCTGTCTAGTAGGCCTCAGTATGCATCATGGACACATTTTTAATGAGCAAGCTTCAATATTTTTGTAAACCGGTGGTAGCATATTCCAAAAGGTTAAAAATATTAATGTTTGATGTCTTCTTGTTCTCACGAATCACAAGCTTTAGTCAGTCACTTTTCCTCTAGCTTGCATTTAATGGTGCTGTACTTTGATAAAGGGCCAGTATGTAGATTAAGTGACATCTAGTAGTGTGGTTGCATATTGCAACCAACTGAATACCCCTTTATGACTCATGTTGATGTGATTATACACTTAGGAAAACATCGTTTTCATGAAATGAAAATTATATTCAATTTCTGCTAATATACTTCTGCACAATGGGTCTTTAATTGAGCGTTCGTTAAGGGAATAAGAATTGAGGGATGTGTTCTCCTTGTTTCTTAGGCAATACTGATAGTGACACTACCTTTTAATAACTTAATATACTACATTTATGAACAGAAAAGGTGTTTTTCATATTCTTGAGAATACTCTTTAACTTGAGTGGTTTAATGTGCACTTATGGTCTAGAGAGAGACTATACCGTATGTACCTTATACATTTTATCAGCCTCCTCTTACACCTGCAGCAAACCTCATTTCACTACAAATAGTGACTA